CTGCTCATACTTAACGGGCATCGCCGACCGCAACAAGCACTGATTGGGGTCCAGGGGTTTTGTCGTAGACCTGTGAAATCTGGAAATCTGTGACAAAAAAATCCTGCCAAAAGTCATGTAGTGTAAGCTTGTTAACCTTGTACTAATTCAATCCATTGTTTTAGTTAAAGGGGTCATATAATGCCATTTTTGTACAAGCTAATATGATTCTTTAGGGTCTAAATTAAAAGCTTGTAATATACTTTTAAAATTCTCATTAGTATTGTAAGAAAACACTTATTTTACCTGGTCAAAAACAGCTCTGTTTTCAGCACGCCGTTTCAGTGCATATGACTTTAAATGATCATGAGCTTTGCTCACCCCGCCTCTCTGTTCTGCGCATACACCGTTTGTAACACAATAACACAATAACCATAACGCGTTATTCATTATAAACGGGGGATTATGAATTATATTGAGAACGTCATACATAGAAAACATGCCGTAATGTACCCTGAGTGTAAACCTTAGACGCATTCATTGTGAAGCGTGCAGCTGGCGATTTGCAAAGATTAATATATTAATATAAAGTTTAATAAAACGTTACACTCACTTCAGTTCTTCTGGAGGTTCAGCAGGAACACGAATATCTGGTACCGATCCTTTATTCAGGAGCAGCTTCTTAGCAAAACCAGCTCATACTGACCCTCGTTTATAAAGCAGTCTGGTGTGTGAAATGATTCGCACAAACATGAAAGCATTGACGTTGCTCGTGGGGAATATTCCCTTCGAAAACAAACACAGCCACTGCGTCTTCAGCGGTTCGGATTTAGGAACATTAAAATGACTGCTGTGTTCGTTATTACACCCAAGAACAGAACACCACAATCGCTTAGACGCCATTCTGCTTATAGACAGTGCTCCAGCGTATCAACAATGACCGCGCCGGTCCGCGCAGACTATGATTGACAGCTCCCTCACGAGCGAGGGCGGGTCTGTGTTGAAAAGCTCCTGTCAATCAACAATCGTGGGAGGGGCTTCCGACCGTGTGACGTCACACGCTCAAACGGCTCGATTTGAGGCAGGGGAAAACATATAAGGAGATTAAAACAAAAACACTGGATGGATTTTTATCGTTTTATGATGGTTGTGTACAGGCACTGCCAACACACATTTCAGTACAATCAACTTGTAAAAGTGCATGTACCATTATATGACCCCTTTAAATTGTGGCCACGTTGTACTAATTTGATCCATTGTTTTAATTAAATCAAGGATGTTACTAATTCATTGTTCTATTGTTTTAGTTAAATCGAGGATATGATGTACTAATCTTGTTGGTACGTTTACAATGATGCACTTAACACGGAAAACTTTTTCCATTGCGTCTTTCACGTACAGCCGACAACGTTGTCAAAACGATCCACGTTCACACAGATTTGTACAAATGACTAAAAACGCTGTATAATTCATGCCAAGCCAGTAGGTGGCGATGTCACTTTGTAAAGATACACTACGTGCTTATAGATTGAACACGTAATAGACATGCTCATGACGTCACCGTTTTCACAAATGAACGTTTTTGTAGTTTACGTGGAGAAGATAGCAGTATCGTTTTCAAAAACTTGCACTTTGAATGCCTTTTTTAAAAAGTTTGCATTTCAGGCCCCCGAAACACTGTTGTCGTGTAAATGAACGACTAAAACGCATACAAATTTTGCGTTTTTAGTTGAAAACGGTGTTGTAAACGGCCCCTAAGTTAATCGTGGCCACTTTGTACTGATTCATTCCATCGTTTTGGTTAAATTGAGGCCATGTTGTTCTAATTAATTCTCTTCTGTTTGTTTGGTTAAAACGATTTACCTACAACAAGGAAACAAATTAATTAGTTGTGGGAACAAATTCTGAAAATGTGCCCACAATATCTTGTTAGGTTTTGTCATGTTATGCCATCTTAAAAAAAACAGGATTATAAAGTTAGCATTTGCATTATTATTTGCCTTATTATTATCATAACATACCTGCAACTCAATGTTGAATCCACTAAAGAGCTACTCTTAATCGTGACTTACACACAAAAACAAAGAGGCCGAACTTTTCATTCATCAAACTTTCTCCACCTGCTGTCACTCGGACGTTAGCATATGAGCTAGCAGGAATCTGACATTCTTGGCCCAGCCTGTAATTGGATCAAACTGTGCACAAAGCGGTTCATCTCGGCCTCATCATGTGGCATTTCAGTCTCTTGGTTTAGTTTTAATTTGGCCATTAGACTCACAGCTGGTGTCCAGGCCTCTGCTGTGACCTCCGACTGGGTTTGTTTGTTTGGGTGCTTATTGTGTTATGTAGTAGATGGCTCTCTAGCAGCAGGGAGCCTGGAATTGTCACTCCAGGATTTCTGATTATGACCCTAAACTCACAGTGACAACCCTTTCGCCATCACCACCATCACAAAATACCATTACAAGAGCTAGATTGAAAGGATTGGGACCATTGCCATTTATGATTGCTTTGATCGTAACACTTACCTAGCAGTAATACTCATATAAACCTTTTTTTTAATGGTATGGATTTTTTGCTTCTTTAACAACCTCATGAAATTGCTTGAAAGTGCATTTTTCATTCATGTGTTCATTTAAACAGGACGTTTGGGTGAGACATATATTATGGCCCCTTCCCGTTTTTTTTTTCTAAAAAGCCAAAAGCCTTTAGTTTACATCACAGCTATGAGCCATGGTTTGCAACTTACTATTGCTAGTCAGCAGGAGTTGGTATTAGGGGAAGGACATTCTCATTCTATAGAGATGCAATTTGATTGGACAACAATTTGGACATGCCCATGAGTGCACTGTGAGTCATCAGCTGTACATTTTAAATGTAAATACACTGTAAACAATGTAAATAAAACAAACATTATTTGAGTGTTTTACAAGAAAACACTATTTCAGTCTTCATACTTCAATTTTTTATTTTTATTTAAAGTGTTACTTGACATTTCTTTATAATTATTTATGAAATTTACTTGCAATGTCCAAGTGAAAATTGTTTCCAAGTACACTTTTTTTTCAGTGTATCTGCTAACCATTACTATTGGCAACTTTTAGAAATACACTCGCATTAAAGATAAAGGTCAACAATGTTTATGCCACAATGAGAGATATGGGTATGTGCTATTGTATGACCCAGTTATATTATATTATATAAATCTACTGCAGGGCTATTTAGTGTTAAATCTCAGGGTGATATATTTTCAGCCGAATCTGAATAATTAAGAGAGTTGAGGTTTCAATAATTCATGTAGAAAACCAGTTTTGTTTTGAATTGAATGAGCAGTGATAAACAAGTAATAGCTATGAAGTTGAGTAAATGTACAAACAAAATGTCATGACTGTCCAAAATGATTGCACTTTTGACATCAATTCATCACAAGCTTCATATTTAATGTTTATGTATTTATGCATAATGTAAGAAAAGCAATGCATGCAAATATGAGTAATATAAATATATAATATAGTATATTATTTATATGATCTACATATATATGTACACTCATCGGCCACTTTATTAGGTACCCCATGCTAGTAACGGGTTGAAACCCCTTTTGCCTTCAGAACTGCCTCAATTCTTCGTGGCATAGATTCAACAAGGTGCTGGAAGCATTCCTCAGGGAGTTTGGTCCATATTGACATGATGGCATCACACAGTTGCCGCAGATTTGTCGGCTGCACATCCATGATGCGAATCTCCCGTTCCACCACATCCCAAAGATGCTCTATTGGGTTGAGATCTGGTGACTGTGGAGGCCATTTTAGTACAGTGAACTCATTGTCATGTTCAAGAAACCAATTTGAAATGATTAGAGCTTTGTGACATGGTGGAAGTAGCCATCAGAGGATGGGTACATGGTGGCCATAAAGGGATGGACATGGTCAGAAACAATGCTCAGGTAGGCCGTGGCATTTAAACGATGCCCAATTGGCACTAAGGGGCCTAAAGTGTGCCAGGAAAACATCCCCCACACCATTACACCACCACCACCAGCCTGCACAGTGGTAACAAGGCATGATGGTTCCATGTTCTCATTCGCCAAATTCTGACTCTAACATCTGAATGTCTCAACAGAAATCGAGACTCATCAGACCAGGCAACATTTTTCCAGTCTTCAACTGTTCAATTTTGGTGAGCTCTTGCAAATTGTAGCCTCTTTTTCCTATTTGTAGTGGAGATGAGTGGTACCCGGTGGAGTCTTCTGCTGTTGTAGCCCATCCGCCTCAAGGTTGTGCGTGTTGTGGCTTCACAAATGCTTTGCTGCATACCTCGGTTGTAACGAGTGGTTATTTCAGTCACTGTTGCCCTTCTATCAGCTCGAACCAGTCTGGCCATTCTCCTCTGACCTCTGGCATCAACAAGGCATTTCCGCCCACAGAACTGCCGCTCACTGGATGTTTTTTCTTTTTCGGACCATTCTCTGTAAACCCTAGAGATGGTTGTGCGTGAAAATCCCAGTAGATTAGCAGTTTCTGAAATACTCAGACCAGCCCTTCTGGCACCAACAATCATGCCACGTTCAAAGTCACTCAAATCACCTTTCTTCCCCATACTGATGCTCGGTTTGAACTGCAGGAGATTGTCTTGACCATGTCTACATGCCTAAATGCACTGAGTTGCCGCCATGTGATTGGCTGCTTAGAAATTAAGTGTTAACGAGCAGTTGGACAGGTGTACCTAATAAAGTGGCCGGTGAGTGTAAATCATTGTAGTCTTTTTACAGCATGTTTAAAAAAGTAAAATATAAAATACTACACTATATATTATAGTGTAATAGTTTATATTTTACTTTTTTAAACTCATGCTGTAAAAAAGGCTACCATGATCTCCAATTTGAATACCCTCTGTGGTGAAAATCACATTTTTAATGTTGTTTATATGTCTATGTGGTGTTTTTTATATGTTTTAAGACAAACCATGTGCAAATTCATCAGTCAACACCATTGCTGAGTATTTTCTCTTTAAAACTGCAGTGAACCAAAGACAGTCTCAAAAACGCGGCTTGAAACCAACCAGGTTTCCTACCGTCACAAACATGCAACCAATCCCAACGTGCGGAGAGGGGCATTTCCACTGGGAGCACAAGAACACCTTTAAGAAGGGACAGGAAAAATCGGGTACATGTAGCAATATAGCGGGTGAATTATGTATATGATGTATATTACGATGTTATGATGAACTATATGCCTTTCTCCACTGAAGTTCTAAGTTGTTCAAAACATTTCTAAGGATGCTGATTTTTAAAAGGCAGCTTTCTGACTCTCAGATAGCGAACTGGAACGTCACAGGTTACGCATGTAACCATGGTTCCCTGAGAAGGGAACAAGACGCTGTATCGATAATGACACTTTGGGGAATGCCTTCAGCATGACAGCTCCTGAAGCACATATGCAACGTCATCCCGCGATGCGTGCCGGCGGAATGCGGAAGCTATAAAGGGAGCTGGCATCACAGCTGTTGTCAGCCTCTGAATGACTGAAGCAAGCTCCCAGGCATGCAGGAAGTATGGCAAAGGGACTAGGCGTCTTGTTTCCTTTTCAGGGAACCATGGTTACATGTGTAAGCTGAGACGTTCCATTTCGAGGGAACTCGCGCTGCATCGATGACGACATTTTGGGGAACAAAATGCATACTTTAGCATGCTGACAAATGCCTGTCCTAGTGTGAAGCAATTAAGACACAGCTCAGGACATGAGCTTACAAAGGTATGTGGGGAGGGGGATCCCTTCATCACATATATTTTAAAGGGATGCCCCTGACAATAAAGCCTTAGAAGATGCCATACTTTGTGTACTTTAGGTATATAACCCGGTCTCGGGTAAAGAATAGCTTTCACTCCACCTGGAGCGAATTCCAAACAGGAAGGACAAGGCATGCAAGTCTCCTACTTTCTTGAAAGACATCATCGCCAGCAGAAACGCCATCTTTAGGGGCTAGACACTTGTCCGATGCAGCGTGCAAAGACTCGAAGGGTGCCAAGGATATCCCTTCTAATACCACAGCTAGATCCCATGCAAGTATTCTAACCTGGGTTGAGCCTCAGCCCCGAGCGCTTCATGTGATCAAGAACGACATCATGCTGCCATCTCTTGCGACTGAGCCAATATCAGCCAGTCATCTATATAATTGAGAACTTGTACGCCCTGGAGCCTGAGTGGTGCTAGGGCTGCTCCCATACATTTCGTGAAAGTGCACGGGGACAGTGCACCAATGTTTCCAAGATACCCTTGAAATTCGGTGGGCGAGACCCAAACTGGAGTTTGTAGCCTTTGGGGACAGTGCGCACACCCACTGAGATAGATTTGGTAGTGCTTCCCATGCGTGCAGGTAATTTCCTAGAGGAACCAACCTCTCGAAGCTGGTATGTATTTAGAAGAGGAGATTCTGTCCCGAAACGAATTCACAGCAGGGTTTAACTGTATCATTGTTTCTATAGGGCTCTTTATGGAGAACGAACCCCCCACGACCGCTATATTGATGGGTTTGGGTTCGTTGGAAATCGTTGGTTGACAAATCGATTTCTTGAGGGCTCCACGGAGGAGCGGGTGTAGTTTGGAGGGGGTCCCCTTAGAGGCCTGACCTGACCTGACCACTAGGACCTCTTTTCTGTAGCTTCAAGAGAATAACGGTCCTCAGATCCATTTTCTCCTTTGCGGACTTCGGTTGAGAGTGTTGCCTCGAGCCCCATGATCGTTGAGGGGAGCTCAATAAGCAACACTCTCATTTTGTGTCTGTCGGTATGAGGAGCCCGACTTAGATGGCTGGTTCTGCCCCTTGGCAGCAGCCCCATGGAACTTATGACGACAGGGGAAACATTTATGAAAGCCTGCAGCCTGTTTCTTTGCCTCCTGGAATCTCTCGACAACTGAGGCCACAGTGAGGCTCGACGAAGAGACCAGTGGGCGACAGCGGGGCATCAAGGAGGAAGGCTCTGTCCTTCTCCTTAATGCCCGATAGGTTGAGCCATAAGTGTCTCTCCATCTCCTTGGTGGTGCGGAGATCAGCGAAGATGTTGTGCGACACGGCTTGGTGGGCAATGTCGGCCCCCGGCCCCCCCCCCCATTACCATTCTCTCTGAGCCCCATGATAGAAGAATAGCGATGTACCGTGGAACTCGAATGCCTAGATGAATATGGCTTTTTTCAGGATCTCGACACCTCAGTGGGGAGATCCTGAAAGCCCCGATTTGGAAGTTGTGGAGCTGACTGCAGGAAGCTGGCCATTCGATGTTCAACCTCGCCACAGCTTGAGTTACAACCTCCACTAGCTCCTCATACTGCGGTGACTGGGCTGGCGAGTCACCCAAATCACTCGTTTCAATGTTGTGCACATCTTGCTCCTCTGAGCTAGACAAGCCCAGCCTCAAACCCTCACTCGGGGTGGAAGAAGCTGCGAAGTGGGCTTCCGGATCCCGAGTATGAGCGCTGGAGCTGTCACACTGAAGGCATACTCCAAAGTGTTGTCATTGGACATGAGTTCCCTCGAAAGGGAACATGGGTTGTGTAGCATTAGCAGCACTCTATTAGCTGTTTGGTAGTCAAGCCAAAGGCTAATCATATTAAGAACCGTTATGTGTCCAATGTTGTAGAGAGTAATACATAAAGCACATTACCATTCTGAGACATCGACTTGGATACGACCCTGTATAATTCACTCTTCCACTTCTTCTGAATCAGTTTCTGGTTTAAACATATAATACGGCTAAATTTAACCAGTATTTCCACTTGCCTTTGTGTAGTGTTTACTTCTGATTGGATCAGGTAGTCAAGCTGGTGTGAGTGAGTGGAGGGTGGGCTAATTTGCATATTCATGAATCCACATAATAAATGAAGCAAGGGTGTAGAGTTACATTCAAGAAATTAAAGCATAAATAAACTATTGTATCAGGACAAAAAACAAAACAATTTAAGGGATAAATGTATTAACTGCATGGGGACTTAAAATGGAATCTCCAAGTTTAGGAAGAATTCCTTATAGAAGTTTAACACTTAGAACAAACCCTGATCAGAATGTCTAAGAAATATCAATATACTAGTGCTTTGCAAGCACTGTAATAAAAGATAGTAATAAAATGTAGATTGCAGCATTGGAGTGTTTGGTTTAATGACCTGTTTCTAAACATAACAATAAAAAAATGGAAGCATTTCAGCATTTCATCTAGTGGTTGAATCCACACTGAGCAGAACATTTTAGAGTTGGAACCAAGACATTGAAATAGTCAAAGGTCTTACAGTTTAGCATAGGTACTTTAAAAATGTATGCATTTTTTTTTTGTCACATTAGCAAATTATTTGGTACTGCTAATTTCTGAAAAATTAGCTTATTTCCTTATTTTTCAGTTCATCTGACAAAAACCACCATTGGAATTATGCAAGCATGATGCTCATCTAAATTATTATCCGTTTTCCCACCACCTCCCCCTTTGACTTGTTTTAGCAGAATCGAACTGAAGTTGTCAGCCCCCATCTGTCTAGAGCTCACTTCAGAGACATAGACAAATTGTGAGTGCATTAGCTGGTTGCGCTCCGCAGCAACGTTATATCAGCCGCACAGAGACACTCGAAGCAGAGTGACAGCTTGGAGTGTGATCCTTGTTGATTTGGAAATCACTTTGGTTTGCCTTTTCTCCCTACAGGCTCTGAGCAACGTTTAACCTCGGACCGTCCAAAAAATCGCTGCGAGGAGCCGAAGATCTAGCGTGGCACTCGAGGCTCAGGCGCTTTATTTGAAGTGTCGTCAGAGCTAGTGATTGTCACCTGAGGTTTCTCGCATGGCTTGATGCCACAAGCAGTTCGGATTTGTGGCTTGGCTGAGAAGCGTCCCAAACTGGAACGGCTCCTCTTGAGGCTTTGGGGTGTCTAAAAACTTGAACGTAATGTTTTATAAATTGGTTCAGGATGTGTGAGGTGGTTGTGGGAAACCTCTTCTCATTTGCTTTCATGGTTCCCATGACGATGGATTGGACGTGGGTTGCGGAGTCAGAAGGAAATGGCGTAGGCCTGCCTGAATTAATCTTCCATGCCTCTGCCTGTTGAAAAGCTGGAAAGACACATGTGCCTGCCTACATGCGCTTTAAAGGAATGCGTGCTGGTCTTCAATCTTTTTGGTTTAAATTTGTGCCCTAGGGAAGAGTATATATATGGTTTTCCTACATAGCTGTGCTAGTTTATGTGTCAACACTGATCCACGATCTCTTTCTTCAAATAAAATATCAATATTTCCTGAAACACTTCACATTCTCATTTCCTTAGTTGTGGTTTATTGCACAATAATGACCTATTCCTTGTACATTACACCTACATATGTAAATGTAACATATATTTACCACCTTAACTAATATTTGCAGTGTATATATATATATATATATATATATATATATATAGTGTGATTTAAATGGGTTTTTGATGGGTCTTTCCATTTAAATAAATTAGGAAGATAAATTATGAATGTGACGCCATATGTAATGGATCGTTGCAAACTGTCTCCCCATCATATTTTCATGTCTAGTGGTTTATTTAATGGCTTCATGTCTAATGTAATCCCCCTATGGTTTTTGAGTAATGTAAAGTTTGTTCATATTTATAAAAAAAGTAACATTACTGGATAGCAAGGACAGTTCATGAATCCCGCCATGGAGGAAGTTCACGGGCTGCCTGCTAATTGCTCGGCAACAGAGCAGCTGTTGAACGCGTTAAACAAAAGGTGAAGCTCTGAGCTTTGTCCTCCAGACATGGAGAAAATGACACAGACAGGCCTTGGGGAGTTTCTTGTGTACAAGCCTTTTGTACAAATAAGCTGCAATTAGTAGAATTTATGAGCGAGCACGCAAACCTGCTGAGGATCAGTTTCTGAGTCAAGTACGCCTGTGAAGTGATGTGTTGAGCACATTTGTTCGAGGTCATCTGACAAATAAACTGAAAACATGTATCAATCAGTCTGAAGAATAATTTAGCTTAAAGAATGAGTTCGCCCACAAATGAAAATTATCCCATAATTTACTCACCCTCAAGCCATCCTAGGTGTATATGACTTTCCTCTTTCAGCCAAACACAATCGGAGTTAAATTAAAAAGTAACGGGCGTGCACACGTCTAGCTCAGGCGGAAGAGTGACGTATGATGTTCACCCTAGTGGTAGTGCGTAATTGTAGTGCTCATTTGGGAAATGTGGGTTCGAATCTGGCTCGCAACAGTTCACGGTTACATTCCCTATCTCTCTTCGCACATTCTGTCCTACATGAGCTGTTCAAATTTCTGTGTGAATCGTTTGTAGATCTTTTTTTTATTGCTTTTTCAATTGTAGTTCAATTGAATAATTGCATTCAATTCAAATCTGGCTCACAAATAGTTTGTAAAAGCATTATTATGTCAATTGTTTGCACAAGAAATGCAAAAATGCACATTCTTGTGATCATGTGGGAAATGTCAAATCGAATCTGGCTTGCAAATGCTTATTTTTACTCTTTCTCCCCATCGGGGTACTCAAACTCGGACTTGAGTACAATTTTTCACGGACTTGTCACAGACTCGGATACATTTTTATTCAGACTTGATTCGAAAAATGTTCCAGAGCCAAGGAAATCGGTGAATTATGCTCGGGACAGTTTTGAGACGGAATTGTCACTAGCCAGATCGGGTCAGTACTGCATTGTCACGAAAGTCAATTTTTTTTACCTCTTACCTGTTTATACAATCAATTCGATACCGAATTTAATTCTCTTTCACATCTTATTGTGCTTCTCAGTGCCCGTCTCAGTGAGTATTCACGTAAACAGTCAGTTATGTCTTAAGTGAACGTAAACTGTTGGGTAAAATCGGATGCGTCAGTATATTGGATCTGTCCATCAAATCCTAAAGTGACAGCAGCCTAATAAACCTGTTCTTTTCTGTGTCCTTAATCATAATCAAACAACAACGAAAAAGAGAGAATAATTCACTAACACTTCTTTTGACTAAATAATAATTATTTGTATTTAATGCATAGAGTGAAGATCAATGCTATTTCTTTAGCACTGTAGTAGCCTATACTTGTATACCTACACGAAACACTAATTATTTCATTTGAATTTTTGATTATGTTTATTTGTCATTTTGTTTTAAATTTTTATATAGTTTGGCTAGTATTCGTTTTTTTTTTCTTTTGTAATGAATTTACTTACAAAAAAACATGGTGGGACCTTCTAATTTCTAAGCACTACCAAAATATTAATCAATTTGAAAACATAGATCCATACAATAAACTTTCAATGTAATTTGTTAATTATAAATGCATGCAAAAATGAAACGGTTACGGTTTTTGCATTCAAAAAGCTTTTTCACTCAGAAATGTCACAATATAGAAATCAAGTCGGCCATAACTTCCATTACATGCCTTTAAGTTTGCTGAGCAGACTACTAATTATGAGAAGACAAGAAATCAAAATGGCAAGATGCAATAAAGGTTTGCTTTTGTTACATTTAAAGTGGACATTTTTTTTAAATAAGTTGTTGAGGTTTAAAAAAAGATATTGACCTAATGAAATACAGTATTGTTTAGTTGTACTCTGACTCATCTCGGACTCTGCCCCTTTTGGACTCGATTGGTTTTAAACTTGTACTCGACTCGGGCTCGACTAAGGTGCACTCGAACCCAACACTACACTCTACTTTCTGCCAAAAAAAGTCTCAATAAGTGATTTACGTGCACTTTGAGTACCTTGATTCCACCGATCACAGAAGAAGTGACTGACTTCACCACCAGGCTACAGCCCTCAACATGCCAACTCCGGGGATGGAGCTTGGGAACCACAGATAGGCTGAATGCTTGCTCCGACTCAAGAGGATGCAATGCCCAGGAGTGCATTAAAGACTTCAGCTGCATTTGTTGACTGGCTTAGGGCAGCTCTGCTGTAGCAGCTTAATGATAACACCATATCTCTTTCTTAATACTTATTTTCTAGTGGGCAAGGCAGACCCGGATTCACTTCCTTTGCAGTCTACAGAGTAGAAGCAAACAAAGTTTAAATGAGCTATGACTATGTAAGGTTAGCCGATGCCTCTGGCAAAATTAAATGTTCTGCTGACCTTTGTCCTTGTAGCACTGTGGATGAAAGCCTCATTACACCACAAACCTATTTAGATGAGGCATGTTATTAGACTTGATGCCAAACAACAAGGACAGACTCAAAAGACTCTTTGGGATCCAGAGTGATAAATGTTATTGTTTGTCTGCGAACGGTCTGATTAAATGCTAAGCTACCTGATGTAAAGAATGTCAAGTAAGGGTACTGATGATTCTGTTGGGGAAGCAGAAAAAAAAATTTCATATTGCAGAGATTGAATTGCTTAGAGAAGCTGGAGTCTTGATGGTTAAGCTAGTTACAACTAGTTACACCAGCATACTAGCAACACATTATTACAGGTCAGTAATTCAGTTTTTTCTCAGCAGGGTGATGACGACTAAAATCACAACCCGATCTCCTGAGAAAACGTAACTATTTTATGAGGTGGCAATTTTGCGATACAAGATATTTATACGATTTGATGTTAGTATGAAAATGTACACTTTATTGAAAACATGTTAGCATGAAGTTCGTATGAATTATTATTGTTTTGTTTTTTTAAACGTACGTAACCTACAATGAGAGTGTTGGAAATTATGAAAAACTTGGCACTGTTCTAACATTACTAGTTAGATATCTGGTTTCGTCATTAGAAGTACTAAGGTACATGGCTTTTCAGGTAAAGTTACTGATAACCTGATGCTATCGTTTAATGGTGCTGCCTTGTCCTTTTCAGGTTTCGACGCCTACTTTAAGTCACGCACACTGGAGAACAACAGAAGAAACGTCTGGTTCGCTGAGTACTGGGAGGAGAACTTCAACTGCAAGCTCATGAGTTCCTCAAAGAAAGAAGACACTAGTAGAAAGTGCACAGGTAAACGTTAATAGCTTTTTTTTGGTTCAAAAACACGTCATGCTGGGAAATGAGGGTTTTCTTTCTGTGAGTACCGAGATCCTTACTGGAATCCAGCTTAAGCTGGTAACTGTACAGAATTTTGGTAAATGATAACTAGCTTAGTTTGGACTTTAGCATAATTAACAGCAGCAAACCAGCTACCGGCTGGTAATACAGTACTTGATTAAGTAACATGGTAACTGGTTGACCACTTAACGACCAGCTTGGACTAGCTAACAACCAGCTTAGACCAGCTAATAAACAGATACCATGTTCAAAAACATAGCTACCAGCTTTAGCTGTTTTTTCCAGCAGGGAATTACAAACCTGTCAGTCTATATTAAGACACTTGCTTGAGTGAATTAAAAATATGAAAGTTACCACAGTTTCCAAGCTTTTTTTTGGCTAAACCTGAAGAACCCTGTCAGGCTCATTGACTCTGGCTTATTAGTGATGCGTTTCTGAATATAAAGCACATTCTCCTCTGTAACAGAGCTCCTCATTACATAATCTTCCCTCAGCTCATCATGGCTAGTTCAGACTGACTGGTTCTCAATTCCCAGTCAGCTACAAGACAGAGTACACGTGCATGAAGATTGTCAACCAAAATTTGGGAATATTTATAACAGGATAAAAGAAGCATGCACACACGGTAGTTTTCTTCTCCTATTTTTTAATATTTTAGGTATAGCTTTGGAGGCCATAATCCAAAATTGAGCAGAACATTACATTTTAAGCAATAATATGCATAATTACTGAAAATGCTATTTCTAATTCGTAAAATCATTTTGAAATTGTATAGTGCCTGTATTCTGTCCTGTAGCCTGTGGTTAAGTCAATATCCGCACAAGGGGTAAACACACTGGAGTATCTAGAGTAATTAATGTAAGAATCAATACTATTGACTACATGCTAACGAAATAAAAAGCATGACAAAGAAATTGTTACCCAGAATTGTTCTGTATTGTAAAATCTGTCCTTTCAAATTTCCATGAGAAATATGATGCCTATCCAAAGAAATGTATTGATATTTGAACCCATTAAAACTGTGACAACTCAGTTAATTGACTAATGACGTGCACGGCTGTCATGTAGGGGGGAAAAAAAAACACTTTTGGGTGCTGCAGGACCCATATTTTTCAGTGATTTCATGTTCTTGGCAGCCAATAATTCACGGCACAAAACACATTGGAGCTGTTTCTTGCAGGTCCAAGGTGGTCTAGCAGCTCTAATCATCTAAACCAAAATGGTCTACCAGTCAAAACGAGGTCCTCTAAATGGTAGCCGAGCTGATCTGCGATCTACGCCACATTGAACCTACTTGGATCTGGTAGAAACTATGTGTCTGCCGCCTACACATTATATCAAGTTCGTAGTAGCATCAGATGGACTGCCGGCACGCCCACAGATCGCCCACAGTCTGGTTGGAAACCGTCTGATGCACATTGCACACAAAGACGGCAAGACCTGACTGAAAATCGTTAACCTTGTTGTGCATTTTGTATTCCATGATTGTCTATTATTGTGGTACCAACTGTTTTTGGTGCCCACTAAACGCCACGTAAAAACTCGGAAAATTCTGATTGGTCACTTTTCATGTTGTCCCAACAGACCTTTCAGTGTTTGGCCGGCCAGATTAAGTTGCAGAATGGAAACTGTAGGCAATGTATTAAAAGCCTGGCTACCTGAGTAGAAACTTCTATCTCTTTTATGGATTTGAGACCAAATCGAATAGCATATTACTATAGGGAGGCTCACCAAAAATGGCCACAATTTCTCACATATAGAAAAGCTAGTCCTATATTTGAGAGCTTAATATGGTTGCTTTCGGTGTGAAAGGCACACTAGACAAACCATCGTCTGATACGTTATTTAGTGTGATTTGTTCGTACGTATTTAACGAGGTGGCTAATTCGTATGAATTTTTGCGTTTCAATCCGGACGATTTTTGCTAAATCCTACATATTTTACGAGTTGCCCAATTTATATGAATTCGTATGAATGACCTACCCCTGACCCCGCGCCTAAACCTACCCATCACTGGGGTTTAGACAAATCGTACGAATTTGTACGAGTGAAGTCATACGAATTCATTCGAATTAGCCACCAAATTGACCACTAGACACTTGTTGTGTTTTTTTTTTCCATGTGTGGTTCTGCTAACTCACAGAGATAGAGATATGAGCTGTATGTTTTACATTCACCAGTTTGTGGTCTCTGCGAGACGTAGACATTGGGAAATCTCGTTTATCGAGTGTCCTGTCAGCTCCGGGAGCCTCTGACCAACGAGGTGAGATATTCAAGAACTGGAGGTGGCGGCAGTTTCTGTCAGCGACAGCTGGCAACACCACTCTATATCGCCCGGAGACGCCGTCGGTGTGAGGGCCAATTTACAGACATCAAGGGGCCGAGTATGTGATGAGAGAGAAAGCACATGGTGCCGTCCCTGGAACAACAGTGTGTGCTGGAGGGCAAAGGAGAGTCAGGTCTGATAGATGACATGGGAGAGGCGAGAGAGGAGTTGGCTGTAGTCCAGGATCACGATTGTACAAGAGAAGACACAATTAAAGATGGCTGGATTGGAAAGTCACTGTGAATTTGTAATTTAATTTTGGGTTTCTCTGATGTGCTCCTGCACACAGGTCATTACATGCATGGCATATTCTCCACCTCCAACATTGGTAAGACGTATTGAGATAGTTAGCAGCAATATATCTGTCAGTTTTTGGTACCTTGTGCCAAAATTCTAACAGGCGCCAAACACACATTGTGTTAATCAATATTTGTTTGTCTTTTGACTTTTAGTCAAACTAGATGTCTTTAAAACAAGATATTTTAATTTTGTAAGATAATTCAGGTTTTTTTTATTTTAGAAAATGTATCTTTAATTTAGTTTATTTCAGCTATACACAACTTTTTTGTTTTATTTACAAAGTGTTTTCTTTATATATATATATATATATATATATATATATATATATATATATATATATATATATATATATATATATATATATATATATAAAGAAAACAAAGTGTCCGATAATTGACTACATTAACGCCCTACTTTTTTAGTGCCGTTGGTTCCAGAAGTATTCATTAATTTCTCCCATAGGGATTTCAAAAAAGTCTTATTATTAAAGCGTTATAAGCCATAGACCAAGTCAACCAAATACGAGGTGAATCTACTAACTACTCGTTTAAAAATGTTGATTATAAATTGTAACAATATATTTTATTGCAAAATATGCATATATATATAAGTGTTTTGAGAGTGTAGAGAGATCAATATCATTTGCGGTTCCTAATGCAAGTGGGCATAGCTAATGAGATCTTTTAGCATGGATTGGTTGTTTCGTCTGATTGGTGAAATTTTCTGTACAGAATCTTGGGTAATGTGGTATTTCCACCAGGAATTCCGCTGTTAAACAGGATTATTTTAAAACTGAGTTGAAATAATGCGGGCTGACGGGTTTAACAGAAGCAAATTCTAGCAATAAACAACCTCATGGCTCACAGTAAGGCTGTCTTAAAAGGTTTACAAGTTATCGTTAAAAATCTATCTCCCTATGGAGAATATGAATTAAGTTTTTACCCTGCTTTTGCTGGGTTTAGACTTAAATGAAGGTATTTTTACTGGTCATGTGACCTCAACATGGCGGCCCCCCATCAAGAGACCCGCTCGATAAAAATAAAACATCTGGCCTGCTGATATGAGTGGAGTCTTCATGTGAACAGACGTTGTTTAAAAGATATTTTTCATAATCATTTCTTTATGTTCAAATAACTTACAGTGAATGAAATGTATTTATGTATCTCAATAAATCTAACTAGTTTATGCTTAAAACAAACATTTTACCATTATTTATATTACCTTTTTAATATACTTTTTTATTTATAGGGTAAGAAAAATAAACTTAATTCAAGACATTCTATGAAAAAGTCTACTAAAGTCTTCTAAAAAAAGTCTTACTATATTATTAATATTAGCACTTTCTCATGTAAATGTCTTAAAGAAAGTCTTTAAATACTTTTACCGCACAACAAGACAAGATGCTCTGAGAAACGTTTGCTTTTATTGTGCTTTTCCACCACTTTCGTCTCTCTTTCGGAGTGACGTTGGAATGCATTTAAAGCCCTTTTTGGAGCGAAGAGCCGGAGTTCAGAGTCCTCTGGGCACCGGAGTGTTTGATTTTAGACTCGCAACGGCACTTCATGAAAATGACAGCTTCTCAGACCCCTCACTAAAGAAAACATAAATGGGAAATTGCTGTACTCCATCTGTGGAATTGCTGTCATCAGAGATTTCAATAGAAATGTTCAGAATGATGCACTTTTTGCAGCCTTGTACTAAATTCTCTTTATTAAATATTGTACAGGTCCGGATTCTGTGTGTGAACCGCTTCGAAGACAACATATTTGCAAATCAAGATTTTCCTTCACTGAAAAGTTTAGCATTTCTGCATTACATTTGTCATTCTTGTAAAAGTAGATACAAGTTTTTCTTATTGTTTGTCTGAGGGACACTAATTCATATTCATGGAAACAAATGTGAAAACCTCTTTTACTTCCATAACATGGTGCATTTTGTACTGTATAAGTACTGTATAGGCCAGGATTTGGTTTTAGATTTAGATTTTTGTTTCGTGGATTGTAAAAACTGAGCATTCCTCGTTGGAGCAACGTTTTTAATGAAAGTTTATGAAGACAAAGTTTTGGGGTAATAACATTCATATGAACCCACATGACATTTGTATTGAGTTTTTCAAATGTGTCTCAAAATACATTTACTGAGAGAGAGTTCACGTTGACTTGACAAACATTAGTCATCCAATCAGATCGATTGATTGTCATAACAGTTGTGTTCATTGTGTGAGTCTCAGTGTGTTGTATCGGTCACAAACAAACGGTTCTTGCGTAGGATGTTCTGTTCCGAGGAAACAGGGACAACCTGATTCGTTCCTTTCCTTTTTTGACCT